CAAGTTCATGTTCCGGATCTTTACCTTGTTGATCTCTACTCGTTGTGCATGTGTTTTCCACTAGTCTAGTCTCTCATTGTCAAGTTCATGTTCCGGATCTTTACCTTGTTAATCTCTACGCATTGTGCATGTGCTTTCCACTAGTCTGGTTTCCCATTGTCAAGTTCATGTTCCGGAACTTTTACTTAGTTGAACTCCTCTCCTTTGTGCATGTGCTTCCACTAGTCTAATCCTTCCTTGTCAAGTTCATGTTCCGAATCCTTACCTTGTTGATCTCTTCTCTTGGTGCATGTGTTTTCCATTGATCTAGCTTCTCATTGTCATGTTCGTGCATAATACTCCACGATTTACTTCGTCAACCTTTTTCTATGGGACGGATGATCGATGTTTGGTTGCTACTACGGGGAACTGATTTGATTAGAAGGTCTTCTTTTCTCTTTCTCTCTCTCTCTTCCTCTCCCCCTCCACATCTCTCTCTCTCCCTCTCCGTCTCTTTCTCCCACTGTCCCCCCCTCCTTCTCTAGTCCTCTCTTTCCCCTCCCCCCTCTTTCACCTCGCCTTCACTCTACCTCTCTCCCGTCCCCTCACTTGGCATATGACTAACCCCTCTCCCCTCACCTGGAAAACATTGCCAGGGTACGGACGGTGATCGAAATCAGACCTCACTTAGTGGAGAAAGAGGACAAGGGGAGGATAGCCGGTCCCTTGTGCCACCAAGAAGGCAAAAGAAAGAACGTTTGAAAAAGTGGGAGAAAAGGCGGGATCCGGAAGGAAACATAAGTTGAGAGAGAGGTCAGTTTGACTTGACCATTTCCCCGACTGCATGACTATGAGAAGAGAATGGGCTGATTGAGCATCGAGAGGGAACAAAGAGCAGCCAAAGGATTTGAAAAGATAGGCATGTGGGAAGGGCTATGTGTTGACCCCCAACGGGGGATTGTATGGATACTCTTGCTTGTGTGGGATTGTGCAGGTGAGTGGTGGCTAGAAATGCCTTGAGCGGGATAGGGGCGAGAGAAACTGGGCACCAAGAGTGAAAGGGAAGAGGGACAAAGGGGCTATGGGACCCTTGACATAGAGCCAACCCATGGGAATGACTTTTGCGCTTGAAGACTTCGAGTGGAAATGAGAGTGCAATCATACCAAGGAAATTGTGATGTTATGTGTGCATGCATATGAGGACCCCGAAAGGACTAAGGGGCCTACTTCAATGAGGAAAACAACAAATTGTGAGACCGAAGGATGCATAGAGGCGAGGGGGAGGACGGCTCCGCCACACCCCGATGACGCCATATAGTCACATTGCTTAGGGAAATGGTGCGTGGCCTAAGGATGACGCTTAGCCTACGCACAAGAGAAGAGAAACACTCAAAGAATCCTTGGGCTGCCTCCGTATTGGAAGGAGCAATTGCATGAGAACACAACAAAGAATCAGAAAAAATCAGCGTTGCGGAACGACCAGCGAGACTACCACCCGGCGTGAGGGTTGAGCTACATCCCCAATGTCAAAGCTCTCTCGCGCGATGGCCCACCCCCATCCATCTCAAAGCACTAGGTGGGGGTGACCTCGGGACGAACGGCCCGCGCCCCGAGCATGAGCGTGGGCGGGCCGAGCCAACTGGGACCCGCAGTGGGGTCGACTAAGGCTCGAAAGTCTACCGGGGCTTGGCCCTACACCGTAACCCGAGCAACTATGCCAGTGGCAATCCCCATGGGCCCACCTGTGGAGGGCATATGCCACCTTCTTCGCAGGTGGATGCGGCAGTCTAAATTTCATAACCTGCTTCTCAAGCAGTGGTTCCAACTTTCGGACAAGACAGTTTAAAGTGGAACGCCGCATCCGCAGAAGAGCAATGTAATAGTCGTTCTGTGCGTTGTCACAGGGAATGAGATCGTTCCACAAGCCCGCAGAGCGCCGCAACACCCACCACCTTGGGGGAGGCCTTGCAATGACATTCGTCAACTCCACAATGGTGGGCAACAGCCACAGGAGACTACGGCCGCCACACCCATCGCCATCGTCATCGACAAATCCAAATTTATGTGACTGCTGTGCAGACCCTAGAATGAAAGATGGTCTCCTTGTCCGGAATCCCATGATGAGATCCATCATTTCGAAGGCATCATCTGCCATTTTCCCCGCGGTGGCCATCAAAGCCAACATGATATCCTCACGCTCCTTCCTCCGTAAGCGAGGCATTCCCAGACGATCAAAGCACTCGCTGCTATGTTGTGACCGTGGCCGTCCACAAACCCCCACCCCCTCAAACACCCCCGGATGGACTAAAACCCTCACCCCCTCAAAAGTTGGTTGTGGAAGCAGCAATGGGAAACTCGCTCAACCTCAACGGAGGTGCTTCCCGTACGAATGGCCAAGGCGCACCGGAGGTTGATCAAAGAACACAGTTTCACAATGACAGTTACTGGGACATGAATGCTAGTAACGGGCGAAGAAGCGCACCGCCATTTTTCCAAATATGCGGCCCACCCGCAGCTACTCTCCGCGAATGGCCAAGGCCTCGATAACGCAGCGCCGACAGCAAGCGTTTCCCAAAAGGGAAACCACAACAAGTTTCCACTCGGAGCAATGTCGGTATTCTGCCTCCCGAAAGCGGACCGTAAGTTGCGGAGCTACGCCGATACAGACCCGTCAGGACTACGATTTTGCATTCCTGAAAAAGACCCGAAAACTATTTTTTCCTATTTTTTAAATGGCCACAAACATGCCACACACGACGCGAATCGATGCTAGTCGGCCCGCGCCCTAGGGGCCATGCTAATCCAATTTGAACGGATGTCCCGAAGGACATTTGATAATAATTTGTAAATTATCTGCAAGGTTTTTTTTTTTTTTTTTTAACTACAAGTGGACGCGCCACGGCGCAGGAAGGGAACGGGGAGCGGAGCAGGGCATATGATGAGAGAAAGGAAAGGAAGAGGAAGGGGGGGAGGGGAAGGAGGTATGCGACATTATTTGTGGAGAGACGCACAGATTCAGGGCAAGGTAAGTAGGATGCACAAAGGGGCAAATTCAGCAGGTGGACAGACCATCAGAGATGCACAGAGAACAGATTCGGGGGATGGAGAAATGGTTGAAAAGATTCAAATGTACAAAAAAGTTTGCAGTTTGTAGCAAAGACTGTGTATGCGGTTCTGTCTCTCTGTGTTTTCTCTAGGTGACATATTTGCCATTTTGGTTTGTCGTACACAGAATAGGCAAGATATGTAGAACAAAAAAGTTTGCAGTTCGCAGCAAAGACTGTTTTTGTCTCCGTTTCTCTAGGTCACATATTTGCAAGGAAATGTCTATCGCCATTTTGGTTTGTTGTATACAGAATAGGCAAGACATGTCGATCAGCATGTTTGTGGTTCAGTGGCTCTTCGTGTGTCCATTCCACTTTGTCTCATGCGCTGGTGGCACTTGTTCGCAGTTGTTTTCTCCGCATGTAGTCTTGTCCATCTCTCTTTGTCTGGCTTTGTCCACCTCTGTTGTAGGAGGCTCAGGCAACTTGAAAGGTCGTCATTCTGATAGTGTTGGAGAGGGCTTAGCGTGGCGGGGAGGGATTCTGGGCGCGGAGGTATGTAACGGCTCGGTGCACAATGTCGGCTCTATAGGTAGGGAGGGGTGGGAGCGGTTGCTGCGTATCACGGTGGTGCAAACGAATGACGTCGTTGAGGTAATCCCAGGTACGCGGCGGGTGGGTAATATTATAGATGGCCAGCGTGTGACGGGAGGCAAGGATGTCATGGATGAGAGCCGTTGCATGTGTGGCGCCCCAAGGTTCGAGCGGAAGCCACCAGGGCAGGTTGGGTTCATACACATTGTGAGGATGGAGGAATGGTTGTTGGGGCGGCGACTCAGAACGAATGAAGGAATGTTTGTGGTGGGCATTGGTAATGCGTTCGTATTGGTATTGGGGCCGTGGTGTGCGGGGGGAAGGTGTCCGATTGTAATCGTCGTTGATGATTTTGAGCAAGAAAGTTCTCGTTCGTGCATAATGGATGTTGGGGTTAGGCGATGGATCCGAACGTCGAAGAGAACGGGTGCGGTTATCTTTGTAAATGGCAAAGAAGTCGTATATGTGTGTTGAGAAAGCAACGTGGTCAGTTAGGAGGAAGTCCTCCCAAAGAATTTGTTCAATAATGTGTTCAATATTATCTCTATTAATGAAAGTTAGCCAGGACTCCCATCTAGTGTGTCGGGAGGTTGTGGTGGTGGAAGTAGTCATTTGTGATGAGGATGGGCACGAGGACGGGAGAGGGATCTGGCTCAGCATAATGTCATCCAGTCCGAAGTGTGAGAGATTAGAGGTTGCAACAGGTGATGTAGACAGGGGAAGCGGAATTGAGGATGTTGTAGATATTGTGCTAGAAGCAGATGCAGTGAAGTTGAAGTGTCGGATGTTGCAGCAGCTGAAACTTGGATGCCTGTAGCAGCAGTAGATGGTGAGGTCTTCGACTTTTTGTTTGTCGACAGATTTTTTGGAGAACCTGCAGGGAAAAAAAAAGGAAGCAGGAGGGCAGTTAGAAGTTAAGCGAGGAAGCGACTGCAAAGTTTATGATAGAATTTTTTGTACACAATTTTTGTTGTTTGGTTATTTGTCGCATGAAGTGTGAAGCGGATGTCACCAACTCTCGATGCAACGACATAGAGTTGTCCATGTGCAAAGCATTGTTGCTGGAGATCTATGTCTACGTGTTTAATGGATTGTCCTTGGGATTTTGTTTATAGTCATGGCAAACACAGGGCGGATAGGGAATCGACGGATTCGACGCGTTTGCCAAGAAAAGGGCTTGTTTGGTTGGTAACTGTGAGGAGAATGCGTGGGAGAAGGATCGACTCGAGGGATGGAATAATTCGTGCGTGCAGGAGTCTGTTATTAGTAATGGAGTCGAAAATGAGTCGTGTTCCATTACATAATCCTTTTCTCATTGCGATGTTTCGCAACAGCATAACGGGTGCATTTTTTTTTTTATACGATGGACGTGAGGAGGCAGCGATGGGATGTCAATTGAATTGAGCGCGTCGATAGGTACGTCGGGGTATTGTTCATTGGGGAGGAGCGAGTCGAAGCTGAGACATGTTATAAAAGGTCCCGGAAGTTGGTCGAGCGGTTTTGTTTTTGGGTGATAGAATCAAGCGTTCGGCAAGCCATTACGGGTTCTGGGAGATTGTTTGAAGTTGTGGGAATGTCCAAGTAATAAGTTGTTGAGTTCCTTCATGTAGGCAAAGATGAGGAGGGAGGTTAATTATAGGGATGTCCACATTTGTGGGGGGGGGGGGGGGGGGGGGGGGGAGAGAGAGAGAGAGAGAGAGAGAGCTCTCTCTCTCTCTCTAGCCACCTTGTTCTTGACGATTGTTTATGATGCAAGCTCGATTATGTGTGTGTGTTGGGGGGAGAGAGGTGGGGGGGTGGTGGGGGGGGGGGGGGGGGGGGGGGGGGGGTAATTCACCATCTCTAAGCGCAAGTAACCATCGAGCGTATTGGCGACCTTCGGGGGTGTTGATCTGAGTGAGCACACACATATTTTCGGAGAGATGCATGGTGTCAAAGTATCGCCATTACACGGATGATTTGATACACGCATCAACTGTTTGTGCACGTGTTCCTTTTGTTATCACGGGAAAAATTTGACGAAAGTCACCGCCAAGAACAATAATTTTGCCGCCGAAAGGCAAATTTGAGGAGCAAATGTCTTGGAAAGTGTTGTCAAACACTTCAATATGGAATCTATGTATCATTAGTGCTTTATCCCAAAGAATGACAATAGTCATTCGAATGAGTTCAACAAGTGCAGATTGTTTCAGAATATCAAGTGTTGATATTGAGGTCGGAGTGAGAGGAGATTTGAATCATGAGTGGATTGTGCGACCGCCATGTAAGAAAGTGGTTGCAATACCGCTTGAAGCAACAGCTAATGCGACGCGATCCTGATTTCGAATGTGCACAAGGATTGTGTTGAAGCAGAAGGTCTTGTCCGTGCTTGCTAATGCATCAGCAAAAAGACAGAGCGGTTTGTTATTTTCGGTCGGGGCGATGATGCGTTGGAAGATGGCGTGTTGCGAGGGTCGAAGGAGCGACAAATTTGCAGCTAGTGTGTTCCGAAGACTTTCTTTGTCGTAGGAAATTTCATCGTGAATTATTTGGGGAACATCTCATTGATCAGGTCGTTCAGCGAGATTATTGGCTTTGTTTCGTTCAGCGGTAGAAGGCGGAGTCATACCAACATCTTGAAGTTGCTTACCCTCTTTTTGAAGACGGTTTTCTATGTCGATAAGAAGCATAGTTCTGATGGTTCTAGAGGTAACGTTCGCAGCACGGAGATTTGTATGGAAATTGTCATCCATTTGTTCCTAGTGCGTTTTTAAGTAGTTCGTCGAGATCAACGGGTGCACAATGTAGGACAATATGGAGATAGAGGTCACAGACCATCGATGGAGAAACTCTGAAGATAGCATCGCGTAACAGAACATCAAATTGAGTGTTATCGTTCAGTGGGCCAAGTGCACGACATGCTGATTGGAACGATGGGTGAACCTCATTGCCAGCAGTTCGAAGGTGCTCAAATGATGTTGCGTCACGAGAATGTGGTGATTGAAGGAGCATTATGAGATAGAAGGTATCACCAACACTGGGGTGGATTGTATGCATTCAACCAATTGTGTTTGCTGAGCGACGACATAATATCCATTCTTTTTTTGTCTTGTCAAATCGGAAGCGTCGAATCATATCTTTAAAGAGAGGTTTCATTTCATCAGGGAAGTCAATGTGTTCAAGGTTTCATTTGAACCATGTAACGAGCTCGATTTCTGGTGGTGGTCCTTGTGCGATACGCGTAGCTTGCTGCCAGCGGAAATATACACGTTGTCAATTTTCTGCATGGACAGGTAATCCAGAAACGACAGGATATTGTTCGGAAAGAGCAAATTCCAATATGCGCCAACATAGTTCAGTTGCACCAATTGTGCGCATATCTTGGAATGTTTGAATCTCGTCATTTGCGGTTGTCATTTTGGCAACCATGGCTTGATCAGGACCTTTCATAATGTATTCAAACATATATCGGTGGGCCGCAGTAGATGCTCAAATTTCAACATTCAAATGGCAGCGATAACGTAAGAGAAGGAAAGGGTTGTATGGGACAACCCAAAATTTGTCAAGTTGGTTGTTTTCTCGGACAACTATCGCGCCTCCTTCACCCGGAGCACGTCTGCAGTAGATTG